GCGCGAGCGGGGAGGGCGCGAGCGGGGAGGGCGCGAGCGGGGAGGGCGCGAGCGGGGAGGGCGCGAGCGGGGAGGGCGCGAGCGGGGAGGGCGCGGCGAGGAGTCGTGGGGCGCGGCGAGGATGGAGCGCGGCGGGCGAAGGGCCGGGGGCTGCCCCGCGCCGAACCGTGCACCGGGCGGCCAGGATCCGCGAGGTGCCAGCACCACCAGGGCTGGGGAGCGACACGTGTGGCGCCTGCAGAACCGCGAGCCCACCGCATCTCCTGCGGACAGAGGAACGCGGAGAGAGGCTACGTCTGCGGAGCCCAGAGAACCCAGAAAAGCAGGCCCTCCCCAACCTCCCCAGAACGAAATTATATTAATAGTAGATACCCTTCAGGACCGTCTGCCCACACCCCAGATACAGAATAATGAATCTCCCATTAGAAGACTCCGATGGTGACTGCTTTCGGCCTCTGTTTCCTTAACTATAACAGAGCTGCAGAGGAATTGGGTTTATATCATCTAAAGGCACTTATTCAAGGTACAGATTTCTAGGCCCCAGTGCAGATCCACTGAATTGGGATCTAGGGCTGGGACCCAGGATTCTTTTTTAAAGGTACTTCCCAGGCTGTCAATTTTGATGCTCAGCCTCGTTTGGAAACCGCTGGATTAGATTCAAAGTCCTTTTCATCCTTCCCTCAGTGAGTACAGGCTGCTCTCCCAAATTCTTTAAGCTGGGCTGCTACCTGTTGACAGTGGGGCAAAAAGTGTCTCTTTGCATCGCAGAGTATAGACGGCGGTGGGGGGAGGGAAGTAGAAGGGACAGGAAAGTGGTTTAAAGAGAGTAGAATGACAGTTACCAGAGTCTGGAAAGGTAGCGGGGATGGAGGCATAAAGCGAGGATGGTTAATGGGCACAAAATATATAGTTAGATAGTTAGATAGAATGAACAATATTTGATAGCACAACAAAGCAACTATAATCAACAATAAGGGTATCATTTAAAATAACTTAGAGTGGAATTGGAATGTTCCTAACACAAAAAAATGATAAATGCCTAAGATGATGGATACTCTAATTACCCTGATTTGATTAATTCACATTTTATGCCTGTATTAAAACATCACATGTACCCTATAAAGATATACAACTATATCCCGGCCACGCAGACTGAGGAGGCGCCATGGGGTTGCGGGTTGCGGGCTGCAGAGGTGAGTCCCGCGGCGGGTGGGCAGCCTGGGAGCACCAGCGGGCATGGATGTGCCCGGGCTCCCGGCCGAAGACAGGGGTGGCCGGGCCCTCAGAGCCAGGGTCAGCCCGCTGTTGCTTCCAGGGCTTTGGAGGCTATGGCTGGGCTCGGATGCTGCTTCGGGGAGGGGGCCCAGATGAAGGCCGGAAGCAGTCAGGGACTGGGGTCATGCGGGACACTCGAGGCCAGCCCTGGAGTGCTGCGGACGCAGGAGACGGCCTCAGCCCCTGCCTGCCTTTGAGTGCCCTTACCTTCCGAGCCAAGCGTCTGGTCCCCGAGGCGGCCACTTGGAGTGGAGCGACGGGAGTCGTGTCTGCGCCACCCATCCTGCGTTTGCTCTTCCGTGTTCCTCTCGGGTCTGACGCTAGCACCAACTCAGGAAGTTACAGAGAGTGGCCCCTGACAACCCAGCTCTTCCTGCTGACCACAAAAGGGGCCTTCTGCTCCTGACCGGTGAACGTTTGTGTAGTCAGGCGGCCCTGGCTGGGCTAGCTCTTGGGGGTCCCCTTAGTGCCCTAGAATTTGTTACCAAACTGCAGGTAACAGGACCGGAAAGCCTAGAACCTATGAGGCAGGCTTGGGTGTTTGGGGTCCTGCAACCCAAAGGCCAGTGGAGAAAACTGGGACTCAGTTGGGTGCTGAGTCGGGTGTGTGCTCCTCCTTTGGGGACCCCTGAGCTCCCTCTGCCCAGGTCTGAGGGCTGCAGAAGTGTGAGTCACAACTGGGTATGAAGAATGCCCCATAATTGCCTCCTTGTTCTCAGAGTCTGGGACTGGCGGAGAAGGTGAGGGTAATTCTACCCTTCCAGTTCTGAGTGACTTTCTCAAATGTGGAGAGGGGTAAGAGACATAGTGTTTCCCTGGCCCTAGATAGACATGCGGAGCTCCTGCTCTGTGGCCTGGCTCAGGAGGCAGGTCTTACAGGAAGCTAGTTCAGCCTGGCCTTGGGGTTGGGCACATCTTACTTCCTTTGAGGTCCTTCTGCTTCTGGGAGGAACACCCCTCTTTTTTCCCTTTCCATCTCTGCATCTGAGACTCTCTGGAACTGCTTGATTGGCAGACAGGCCACTGACCTCGAGTCCTCAAGGGAGCCAGGTTCAAACCCTGCTGGGCCGAAGCTCGCTGAATTTACAGGGTCTTACTGTCTGGGCTTCCTCAGACCCTGTTCTCTGAGAGCAGGAAGTGGCTGGCCCCTCTAACCCTGCATCAGGTTTACAGATGAGGAAAATGAGGCTGAGGGACAGCAGTTGCTGGCAGGGGAGGGGCCGAGGGAGGCTGAGCATCCAGGTCTCTGACTCATGAAGCCACCTTTCCACCTCCTCATTCTACAACCTCATACATAAATCCTTGAAAACTGTAGGTGTTGTCCAGGGGCCTGAGCACGTTGGTGAAGACCCTGAAGGAGGGCATCCGTGCAGAGCAGCCCCTGGGCCAGCCCTCTGGCCCTTGGCGTGACACCTCTGCTCACTGCACCAGGCATGGATGCATGCTGAGAAGGCAAATGATATAATTAAATGGAAACAAGTTGGGTTCTTTGAAAACACAGCTACAGAAACCCAGGAAGGCTGGTGACTTATCACTTCCACATCAGTCCAGGGCTGCCACTCTGCCCTAGAGTGAGGCTGAAAAGATGTGAGACATGGGGTATGGGTAGCTCGGTTTCTTCAACAGACATTGAGAGTCTGAGCCCAGGCCCAGAGGAAGGATGCTCCCTGCCCTGGGGCATGCACAGGGGGCCTCTGCCCTCCTGTTCTCCTGCTTGACTGCAGCCCTCCTCACTGCTCTGTCCCTCTGGTCCTGCCCTGTACACTGCTATCCAGCACCTGGCACAGTGGGAGCATCCAGAAGCACAGTATGATTGTGTTGCTCTTCCACATCTCTCCTGACCCCTCAGCGAGGACACAGGCTTCCCTGCCATCTGGCTGTGCCCTCATGATGCGGTGAGCAGAGCCACTTGATCCACATACCCTGCTCTGCTGAGAATGCCCAGAAGGGCTGCCCTGCTCTGACGCTTCCCCTCCGGCCCACCCCTGGCTCCCTTCCAGAACGTCTGCCCGCAGTACTCGCACTGGGCTCTGCCCTGTCCAGCAGCCCTGTCTCCCCTGCTGGATGTGAGCACCTGAAGGGCAAGGGCTATTTCTGTTTCTTGGCAGGCCCAGCACCGTCCAGCCCCACGCTGAGTAGTTGGTCAGGGAGCATCCACAGTCAGCTGTTGGGCGCAGGCAGCTCTGGCTCTCTTGGGTTCTGAAGTCTGAGGGGAAGGGGAATGCCGCAGTGTCTTTGGGAATGCGGGTGGCCACACCTGACCTCAGCTTGTTTCTGAATCTGAGAGAGGAATGGACTTGCTGACTTGTTACCCTCACATGAGCATCTCACTTGCTCAGCCACACCCTGTCACTCTGGGTCTCGCACAGTTGAATGGAGACCCTGTCATGAGTGGCCCACGGAGGTGTCTGGGGTGTCTGCACGTGGGCTCTGTGGACGGCTGTGTTGGTGCCACTCTGACTGGGCCTGCAGGGAACAGGGCTGCGGGAGGGCAGAGGGGCCTCCTAGCTCAGTGCAGAGACCCCAGGAGAGACAGTGTGGGGCCCCCAACATGAGCCACAAGGCCCTGGGCATCAGGCTATTCCTTTGCGTGCTCTCCAAGTGGCCTGCACAAGTTGCTACACAGGAAGCAAGCAATGCAGCCATCCCTCCCAGAAGGACTCATCTAGGACACCAGGGCAGACTCATTCGTATCCTGTGGAGTGACGGCATCGACCTCACCCCACCTGTCCTGACTAACACCCTCATGGCTCTGCTGTCCACGCCCCTATTTCTCAGCTTCCCTGAGGTCAGAGGGAAGCTGCGAGGGTCCCCGCCTTCCTGGTGGCCAGGCTGGACAAGGTGCCTGGACAGGGCTTCAGGACATCAGGAAGAAGACAGGTCGATAGCTGCTGTTTGAAAATGTCACAGCAGCTGTGCCCAGTTTCAGACAGTCCTTACAGCTTCCTGCTCCTCCTCTGTGGAAGGAACCGGGTGGAAGAAATTTTGCAGCAGAAGGAATTTCTCCCCGCACCCTTCCCTCTCTGCTTTTCCTGGAAAAGTCACCCTTTGGATTAAAGTCACTCAGCAGGTTAAACCTCTTACACCTTCTCCCCCTTGCCTCATCCCCTACCTCCCACACCCTTCAGTGAGAAACTGAAGTGAGTTCTGGAGCTTTCTGGAGCCCCTGCCCTTCCCGAAAAGGTGGCTATGGAGAGGCCAGACTTATGGGGGGAGGAAGTGCCCAGAGGCCTCCTCCTGGTCCAGGGCCACACAACTCCCCGTCTACCTCTCTTCGGGCGAGCAGGAGACATGAGCGCCCCCGCCCCATGACCCCTGCTTTGCCACAGCCAAGGCCACCAGGCTGCCCAGGCCAGGGCTGCACCTGCTGCCACTTGGCAGACAGAAATATAGAAGTGCCAAAAAAAAAAAAGATACACAGCTATT